TCTAATTACTTCTTTATCCTTGAGTACCATTGGTTCTCTAATGGACAGTGATTCATAAAACACATTCATGAATTGGAGCTCCTACTGGTCCAAGTACCGAATCAACCCTCAAGAGAATTATTTATCTACTTCTTTCTTAAGAAGGAATGGATTCCATCTCGTGTAATAACATTCCCGGCTACCTACTTTATCATGTCTCCAAAGTACAAGGAATACCGAGTAAATCAAAAGACACAAATCCATAAATAGGAGTCTGTTAAGAACTCAGGATTGAGATCATCCTATATATGACCATCGGTAGGCTCAATTAGAATTTCTATACTTAACGGAATTATTAGAAATTCATATTGTGTCTGTGTCCTTGTTCCACATAATCTCATTATGCGAAATACACTCATTCAATATCTCGTCATATTAACAGTGCGGATAACACCGTTCTATTCTAAATGTGAATGACATGTATTAATAATGTTTTAATTAAAGATTCTGAACTTTAATTAAATTCATTATGAACATTGCTTTTTGATTATTATCCTTAAACATTATCCTCTCGTATATACCACTTATATACAATGTTTAAGGTTACATAAATAACCATGGAATTTTCATTGATATTCATAAAATATTCATAAATATATGCACATAAAATAATGAATAAACTCTTTTATTAAATAAATAATAAATATCCTATTACATCTCATGCTTCTAGGACATCATTCCCAACAGCCACGCGAGTAGGATGTAAGGTTGAGGATCTCCCGGATGTACTTCTGGCTCACCGGATCATCGTCGTGGCTCGTTGCCTTCACGATCGCCACCTCCAGCTCCAGCGCCATGTTGCTCGCTACCTTCGTGATCCCGATGCTCGTTTGGTCCTTCACCGCCCCGTTCACCTTCCGAATCGTCGTCAACGCCATCTTCACCTTTTTTTTTTTTATTTTTTTAGTTGCCGAATCTCCTGCTAAGCTCTAAAATTGAGAGTCGAAATGTGGTTGAAAATTGAAAGCTAGCTGTCTACTAAGGGACAGTGGGTTGGATTTGGGTGTGTGGCTTATTTACTTAAATTGTGATGGACAATTGGCATTGATCTAATCGTTGACGTGTGTGTGGGAAATAATATTATATATAATATAATATTCGGGCTTCTTGGGCGGGCTCGGGTTGCCTGACTGGGTTCGGGCAACCAAAACCAGGCCTGCGGTCCGTCCATGGGCCTTGCGGGCGGCCTAAAAAATTCAGGCGGGCAAGCTCGAGCGTCGAGCTCAAAATTAATTTTTTCGGGCAGTCACACGCGACACGTCCAAAGTTCTAATACTACAAGCATCAATAGGATCTACGATGGATATAACCATCTCCATTCAATGAACCATTATAAATTTATGAGACGTTTAATTTATGTATCCAGAATCATAATTCATAATTTTAATTTTTAAAATTTTAATTTTTTATGAGAAAAAAACACCGTAAACCATCAATGTTTTCTCGTCTTTTTACATATTTTTTGCATTATTGACATTGAAACAAATTGATGATGGAATTTACCCTCTACACAGGGCACTAAAAGAAATTTGATCTTGCTTTGTCGGTTTGGCAGCTATCCTTTTCTTTCCTTTATTTTTCAAACAGTTTTTCTTGAAAAAGAAGTCTTTTCTTTTACGGAAATTATTAAAAAAGAATTCTTTATTTCGTTATCACTATCATTATCCGGCAAAACCCAACCAAATTCACCAAAAACCGGCTCTAGGGACACTCGGAGACCAACCACATCAGTGTGGGCTCTTATTTAGTTCCCGAGGTAACGCGAGGGACTAGACTCAAAACGACGTCGTTTTTATGACATCCTAGACAAATAATATTCTAACACTAATAATCCATTTCCCCATAAATGGAGGACGAGAAAAAAAAGGTTTCAATAAATACAAAGATTCCTTTTTTTACCAAAATTTTCAGGTGCTTTATCCGTACTAGTCAGTCTAGAGTAGCAGACCAAAGCTTTCTCCACAAAAAAAAAAAAAAAAAAAAATCTTCACGCTCTTCTCTTCCTCGTTGAAGGTATCTCCATTTCTTTATTTTATTTTATTCTTTATTTATTTTCTCCTTATTTTATTCTCTCTCTGTTTCTCTTTTGTTGTTTTCCACTCTTCTCTTGCCGGCTTCCATTATTTCTTTTGCGACTTCTTCAAGTTCGTAGTTTTTTTTTTCCCCTTTGCTTGTTCATCTTTGGATCTAGTAAGTTTTTTCTTTTTTTTTTTCCCATTATGTTCGAGTTTTTGGGTCTAATGTTTTTAGGTTGATATGTTTAGCTAAGTTCACATTTGGTTCTAATAACAGCGGATCTTTTTGCTTTCTGTTGTTTTGAGGAAAACTTGAAATGGGTTTTGTGATTTCAGATGTTCGAAATCACTTTGGCATTTGGGTTTCTGTTTTGAACCCATTTGAAGACCTGCATTTTCTTCTTAAAGAGGACATTGTGTAATTTTTCGTTTTTTGCTGTACTTAAGCAGGTAAAGTTGGCATTTTTATGTACCAATTAATATTCTCATGAACGGCTTTGGTGTTTTTATCTGATTTGAATTTTTGGGTTTCTAGGATATTGAGCTTCAACTTCATGCCATGGGAAAAACTCCGGGAAAATGGTTTAAGAACCTTCTTCTTGGGAAGAAATCATCAAAGTCAAATCTTTCTAAAGGAAGAGAAGTACTGGTTAGTTTCTTTTTTTTTTTTTCCCCAAAGTCTTGAAATCTCTCTACTTTACATTGGTATAACAAGTTTTATTTTCGAATTTATGTGCAAAATTATTACCTTTATTAGGAGGTATTGCTTAAAGTGAATAAAAGTACTGGAAATGAGCTTCGCATATGCATATCTAACTCACTTCTTTAATTGCATAGTTACTAGTTAGACATTTTTGGCATTGTAAAAGAAGGAGAGATAATAAAAAGTGAGGGAGAGAGAAAAGGGACATCTGTTGTTAGGCTTAGTTTACCATTATCAAGTGTCCTTGTTTTATTTTGGTTTAGTTTTTATTTTGTTATTTGGTTGCCTATAAATATGATAGTTTATAACTTCAATTTAGAGTTAAATTCGATAAATGAATTTTGAGATTATTGGTGTCCCTATTTTTAACTTCTTCGAGTTTTTGTTCTGTTTCTAGAATCCTCTCTCTCTCTCTCTCTCTCTCTCTCTCTCTATATATATATATATATATATATATATATTCTAGTTCACTATTCCATTCTTCTATTTAGATTCTATGTCTTCTATCTTGGTCCTACATGACATGGGATATCTTATGTGGTGGTAATGCCTTCTTTGAATGACATCTATCTAATTTCTAATGGAAATAAACTATAAAGAAACTAGAGGTGGGTTTGACTGAAAAGTTCAATTCACATGTCACCCTACTTTGATAAACTTGACTTCCATGATCCATCTTGTAGAAGCAGGGCTTTGTATGACTTACTGATTGTTACTAAAGTATAAGTTTTTGTCTTTCTGCCTAAGACCTCTTGGTCTAGTGGCATTGGGGGGTTGCAGGTTCAATCCCGTCTTGTATAAAAAAAAAAGAATAAATAAATAAGTTTTTGTCTTTCTAATTGGCATTCTTTCTGATCTTTTGCAAAGAAACCTTCAAACAAAGGGGAGCAATTGGTCTCTTCTAAGTTATCTAATGTAACTTCGGAAGCTCCAATCATTTCACCGCCAATTGTTGGAACTATTACCGGTAATGAAATTGACTCGGATAACGAGGTGGTTTCCAAATTACAAAGTGAGGAAGTTGTTCTTTCAAATGTAAAAGAAGGTGGCTCTACTACACAAGCTGCTGCAGTGTCAGCTGAAGACCCTGAGAGAATTAGGCTAGAGCAAGCTGCTACAAAGGCACAGGCTGCTTTCAGGGGCTATGTGGTATTGACATATTTCTCCCTCTCTTTCTATTTTTTTTAATAGTTCTAAAGTATTCTGTTTTTTGGAATTTCCTGCTAGTTCCACTTGATTATATCTCGTATTTTGTGCTTTTATTTGCTAGTGGCACTATTATATGGAAGAGATCACAGCTAGCACCAAAATTATAGTGTGAAAACTTTAGTTTATAACACTTTCTGCTATTTATATACATGCTCAACGCTAAAGGCACGATTCTGTTTAAAGCATTGTGACAATGTAATTTCTTTAGATCCACCTAAGCCGTGTCTCTAGTGAATGAAATTTGATTAATAGTTTGTTCCTAAGAGTATTACTTGTACTGTATTAATGTCTTGAAGGCTCGCCGGGAATTCCAGACACTTAAGTGCATCATAATGTTGCAATCACATGTCCGTGGTCACTTGGTTAGAAGACAGGCGGTATCTACGTTGTGCTGTGTGAAGGGAATTGTTAAGTTCCAGGCAATAGTTCGTGCTCGCAAGGTTAGAATTTCTGATGTTAGAAACCATGTGCATTTTGCAGATTACAGGTTATCTTGTTAAATTTGTCATTCAATGATCCGCAGTCTGTTTTCTTTTACTTTCTTACCAAGTGCAAATGTGAACATTTTAATTATTTATCGGTTCAACCGTTTTGTTTTGTCTATATTTATACACAAATGGCTAATATAATCGAGTGATAATATGCCTAAATTAGCATGATTGAGTATGCAAGTAGAAGTATTTGCTGAGTTTTTTATTATTTATAGTGTTGGATTTCGATGGTTAACATAAGTCTCTGGTTTCTGCATCCCGCTACATCTTAAACTGCTTACTGTCCCATTCCATGCATGAGTAGTCGTGCTTTTTTTTTAAAATTCTTTTAAGAAAATTATTTTACATTTTTTTAATGTATCAGGACTCCAAAGTAAGTGCAGCTACTAAATTCAGGAGGCTGTCCAAAAAGATTTTTGTTTTCAAGGTGAGGTTTGCTTTAGTGGGTTGGTTTTGTTTTATTTTGTTTTTTTCTTCTTTAATATGTCCTCTTGGATACACCTGCTTCATTAAATTGGTTATCCACCTTTGGATTTACTCATCTTCTCTTCTTTTTGATCTCCCCGTCCCTTTCAGCTTCTTGCTTCATTGCCTACTGCAATTCCTCTGCGTCTACAGTATGGTTCAGGAGAACCCAACTCTGCCTCCCTGTGGCTTGAACGCTGGAGCAGATCACATTTCTGGGAACCCCTTTCCGAGCCGAAGAAAAATCCTGATTCAAAATCACGTAGAAGTGGGGAAGACAAGTCAAAAAAAAGTGTCCGAAGGATGTCTGGTGCAAATGCCGAAAATGGATCAGCATGCTCCACTTTAGATTCTGAAAAGGGTAAACGTAACTCAAAAAAAGTTTCTAGTCAACCAGTAAATTCTGCTCATGAACGTTCTCCGATTGAGATTGAGAAGATTAAGCGCAGTTCAAGAAAAACTCCTGATCCCACAAAAGAGGTTTCTGATCGATCAGAAGTTGATATTGGGAAACCGAAACACAGAATGAGGAAGCCATTAGGTGCTGCTGCTCCTGCTATTTCAGAGCAGGGTGCTAATGATTCTGCTGAGAAGTCGAAAGACATTCCCGTGGCATCACCAAAGCAATCTGATATCGAGAAGGACATGGAATTGGATAACGCTGATAATTCTGTTGGTAAGTTAGATTGCCAATCGCCTCTTGATTTGCAACCTATGGAGAACATTGGTAAAACGGAAGATATTCAAGAATTGAATCAGCAGTTAGGCAGCAAGGATGATTCTGTGCTCAATGATAACCCAAAAACCAGCCAAAGAAGAGCTTCTTTACCTGCAAAGTTTGAGCCTCAAGAGAATGGTTCACAAAACACACCTAAATTACCAAGCTATATGGCACCAACTGAATCTGCAAAAGCTAAGCTGAGAGGACAAGGCTCCCCACGATTTTCCCGGGATGCAGTTGAGAAGAATGTTTTACTGAGACGGCATTCTTTGTCCTCGTCCACTAACAGCATGTTAAGTTCCCTTTCCCCACGAGCACACAAGTTGGTTCAAGCAACTGGCAGAGGAGCGATCCGAGGCGACAGATCTTTATCATCATCTAGAGATGGTGGTGGTAAGTTGTGAACTTGAGAATTTCTCCACATGCATTATCATTCGGGGTTTTGTTATATGTCTGGTATTTCACCTTTATTTAATCTGTTCTGATAACTGGTACTCTGAATGTCTTCCAAAAGCATTAAACGCTTCCTGGTCTTGCCTGAGTTTTAAACTGAGGGGCTGAAACAATTCCATGCATATTAATGAGTAGATGCCATGTGCTTTTGTTTCGGCATAGAAAATCTTCAGCTCTACATACGAGAAATGGTGCTCCCAAATTCAATTCCAGCTATCCATTCTATAGGAAATTTTATCTATATTCAGGAACATGCATAAGTAGTGTATAAGCTCAATCTGTTATAATGTGGAGAAGTTTAGGATGAGTTGTTATTGAAGTTTTGTTCTCTTCTGTGGCTCTAAGAAATTGTTCTCGTATTCTACCCTTGTTTGGTCAAATTGTCTATTTTTCTCCTTGTATTAGAAGAAACTCTAGCTGATTTCAAATGTAATATATTCTGTTGTTCTCCAGCTTTTACTTATTCACTATCAATTTGGTTGGTGAAAAATTGAGATTAGTTTCTGATGTTCTCCAACTAAATTTTTTAGTGCGAGCTGTGGAGTCAGTAGAAGGCTACTCATAGATTTGAGTAAATTTATTGAATTTGGCACTTTAAGTGTTCTCTGATGGTCCATACTTTTGGGTTGTGCTCATTTCAGATAAGCTGATCCAAGCTGAGTGGAGAAGGTGACTTTGCACAGCAAACCGTTCATGGGAAAATAGCTCGAGTTGCATGGCTGCAGGTTTTCTTCATGTTATCCTTGTTTTTAGGTGAAAAACTGGTTTGTTTTTGTAATTGGTTTTAGCATGTTCCTCTCTATTGTTTGTTTAGGTAGTGGTACATTCTTACAGGTCTTAGTGCTTGGACTTTAGGCTTGAGCTGTATAATTTTAAGCTTTCAGTCTCATCAAATTTTAACTTTACACAAATCTCAGAAGGCTTCACTTCTATTCCGTTTGTCTTTTGATACTTGGAAGTTTTTAAATCCTTGGATTTTGTTATCACAAACATCCGAGCTAGTTTGGTTGCTGGTTTGAATGACAAGACTAAGAAGCACCGAGAGAAAATTCCAAATAATGATTCCACTAAGATAATATTATTTCATAACTTTTATTTTACTTCTTTAATGCGTTTTCAATTATCACACATATAGGATATCTTTCATAGAACGCAGTAAGCAAAGAGAGAAGTTCCGGGAGTCCAAGTAGGGTGGAACCTTGCGAGACTAACGCTGTATCCACTCCCTATAAACATGCATCCATAGCCTACTGAAGCACCCCCATAAACAGTGGCACCTGTGTTTGCTGACCATAGAATCTTTCCGGTTTCACCGTCCATGGCATAGACTGGACCACTAGGAGCTACTGACCCAGCAAAGACGACACCGTTGGCCACAGTGACCGGCCCATGGGCGGTGTCGTTGGCTGGATCAGCCGTGGTCCACAAGATTCTCCCAGTATTTGCATCAAGAGCCACCCATCCGCCTGAGGTGGCCGTCCGATTAGATGGGGCAAGGACGAAAGGCTTCTTATCGGCGTTGACTATGTTTGTGTAGACCCTTCTCCCATCCGTGGCTGCACCCCAGATGCCTCCTCCCTCCAAGCTACCTGGTCCTGCCAACTACAAAATTCAACTAATATTAGCAAACATACAATAAATTAGTACATATTTCACCACTAACATTGGCATTTAAAAAAAAGGCTTTTTTTTTTTTTTTTTTTTTTTTTTCTTTTTTTAAAGGTCAGAGATGAGACTTGTTAGGAAATACCTATAAACCGTGTGTGCTTTCAAAAATCGAGTTATAATATAACTTCTTAGAATTGGATGAAAATATATGTTGAATTTTGCGTTTAAAAGAAATACTTGTTTGTAAAATGTTTTTTGTTTTTGAAGTTTTATTTGCAAAATAAATGCGCTCTTTACATTGAGCATTTTATTGAGGCCCTTGGTGTAGAAATGAAAAAAAAAATAATAATAAAACCGTTTTGCTAATTTCACTTTCAAAAATTGTCGCAGCAGCAATTTTTTCAAAATAATGACGCGTTGCAAATATGAGTGAAATTTTTACCTTAAACCAAACAATGTCACCATTGTCACGGTCCAGAGCCCAAGCAAACCCACTTTTCTGGACAGCAACGGCGACGTCGACTCGGCGTGTTCCGTTCGGATTAATGGTGAGCAGCATGGGTGCCTCCCCGAAATCGGCGTCAAGATTAGGTCCAGGAGGACAGTCAGGGTTGTTGGGAACCAAACACACAAAATAAAAGACATCATAGCCTCCCAACTGCCTGGACCAAACAATCCCCCCAGTATCGATATCAAAAGCGAGAATGGAATTGTAGTGGATGTTTGGTCCAATGCACTGATCAGGGTGAGTTGGCTTTCCAGGTTGGTTGTTCTGCTCCTCTTGGCATCTGAGGACCTCAGCTGGAGCCGTGTAGAGCTGACCAGTTCCCACGTAAACATGCTGCCTCCTCACATCGATGGCGGGGCTGCTTCCCCATATGGCGGCTCCAGCATAACCTCCCCGCTTACCACCGTTGTCGGGGAGTGTGTAAGTCTGCCACAGAACTCTGCCGGTCCTAACGTCTAGCTTTACCAAGCTGCCACGGAATGTGCAGCATTGGTCGGCTGGTAACACTACTTCCAGTGATGAAACCCCAACGTAGAAATCCCTGAGAAAATACAAGATTTTAATCAGGACCCTTCGTTTTGTAGTTATACAGTGCAAAAATGAAAAAGGACCCGTTAATCCAAAAAAGAACAAAAAAAAAGCAAACTTTGTTGTAAAGGACAAAAATGTGGAGTTTTATGAAATTTCATTAGATGACTATAGTAACATAAGCAAACTTTGGTGTATGCGTTTATGATGCAATTCTCGTGTTCTGCATGACATGAGACAATCATTTTTATCTTTAATCTTTAAGGGGAAAAAAAAGATGGTGGCTTTTTTATTTATTTTATTATTATTATTTTTAAGATAAAGGAAAAATAAAGGTCATTTTTAAAGGGGAAAAAACGAGTGAGGGAAAGAAATGAAAACCTTTCTTCATGTACAAAACATTTTTGAGACACTGAGTAATGTTGAAACGGTTTCTTGAAAATAAAATAGAAGGGATATAAATTATAGTTTTAACTTTCTTTAAGTAGTTGATAAAATTCAAGAATATAGATAGCTAGAGTTATTGACGGACCCCAAGTAAGCAGTTCCAGAGGCCGTGATTAGGGCACGAGGACGAGGGTCAAGTAGCGTCGACCACAAAAGCCTCCCATCAAGACGTGAGACCGCGATCACAAGAGCAGGTCCATAAATTCCGACGATCAAGCGGTCACCGGCTATTGCCGGGGTTGTTCTCGAAACCGTCACATTCACATTCACGATGATTCCGGTGCCATTAAGTCCCGTTAGCTCGTTAAGATTCCTCTTCCATATCAACCGACCATTAAAGGCGTTCACCGCGTATAGATTTCCATCCCACGACGGGAAATAGGCCACTCCGTTGGCTATAGCCGGTGTCGCGGTTATGTCTCTGCCGGCGAGGAACTTCCACCGCAAACGCAGCCTCGACGCCGTCCTTGGGCTGATCAGCGCCTCCCCATCTGCTTTCCTGTCGTTGGTTATGTCACTCCCGTGGTTTAGCCACTGCAAAATCATATTCATGAAAAGAAAAAACTTAGTAGTGAACACTAATTTACGTTGAGAATTCTACCGGTAGAGCTCCTTTAAACCGTCAGATTTGGATTAATATGATTTTCAATTCTCAATACATTTTTTTTTAAAAAAAAATTACAGGATATATAGAACATTTACCAGTGCGGCGACATTATGATTAAGAATATGTAGACTTAGCACCGTGACTAGGAAGGTGATGGTGCCAAGGTATAATTTCTGGGTATTGTTTGCAAAAGCCATGTTATGCCTTTTGGTTTTGGATTATATTTGAAGGTGTAAAATGTGTGTATTATATAGAGCGTTCATCTAGCTTTTTGTTCAAATATAGAATGTGACGTTTGTGCAGAAGACTTTCGGTTCATTTGGGTTAAAGTAACTGGTATTCAGCTTGTTATCCGGTAAGCTATAGTGTTAATAGCGTGAATACTGAATTTTAAATAGATATATATATATATATATATATATATATATATATATAAACAATAAACAACAATAATGCCCCCCAAACCTATGATGTCAAATTTCGCCTTATTTAAGTCACGCTGCGCCTACATTATTGAGAAATTAATTAAGTATGAATGTATTTCTGAATATCATCTATAGTAATTGGCAAGTGGAGATGAAAATGAAAGTAAAGTTCAATAGGAAGTTTGGTATAACGACCCCAAGCAATTTAAGTGAAATAAAAGAGAAGAGTCAAAGAAAGTAAAATTCAAATTTTAAATGCTCATTGGACTTTTACTTAAAAAGTCTCAATAAAATATCACAATAATAATATTTAAAATCCAGATAAAAGTACAACACCAGATAAATAAAATACAGTTGTCATCAATCAATCTCATTAAATAGATAATTTAAAAGAGTCATTGAGAAATCTTAGAGCCTTACCTGACTAAAAGAAACAATCTAGGTCTCGTTCAATTTACTTATTTAAATTTTTAATTTAAATTAAGATAACTGTAACAAAAAAGTTAATTGTAACTTTTTATGAAAGTTTTTAACTGTAATAAAATTGAAATTAAAAACTCAAATTGGTAAAATAAACGAGGCCTATAAGATATCTTGGCAAACACAGGTATGCCACATAAAGATACCTATTAAACTATGACTCACCTTTTGATTTCATTAAACGTTTGATTGGAGAATTCGTGTCATGGTTCGCATCATGGTTCGTGGTTCACTAAAGTATTTTCTCTCATAAAAAATACACGTAAATTAAAAATAGTTTTGAATCATGATTCTGAATCCATCAACCAAACGTCCTTAAGTATTAAACACTACATGGTTTTGCCATTTTGTTTTCCACATTAATATAAAATAAATAAGACCAATCTCCGACGTGTCTAAACCAAGTGGATGCTTAACGAATACTCATTATCTTTCATATTTATATACTATATATACACACATAAAAAAAGAAAGTACAAATATACACAAGGTAATCAAATATGCATACCCTGAAGGACATGCATGACAATGCAAAGCATCCAAACCATGAGTTGCTGCGTGAGGGAGCTCACTCTTCTCACGTCCTCACCAACACCATTACGTAGAACAACCACCTTAGGAATCCATACCCCATAGAGCACCAATGCTTCTCCCGCTTCTGTAACCTTTGAGAGTGTCTTTCCTGATGACAACATTTAGGTTACGTTTATTTCACCGATTCGAGTTTAGAATTTGAGTTTTGTTACAATTAAAAGCTTTCAAAAACAGTTACATCTAACTTTTTTACTACAGTCAAAAACTCTCACATCAATGCACTAAATAGACCCTTATTATAAGACAAGTCCAGACATTTTTAAACTGAGAGACTGTAACCAAGTCCTATAAAAAAAATAAAAATGCTATAATTCACGTAAAATTAGTAACTCGAATTTTAGGAAGCAGATGAGAACGGTGAAAAGTCACGTGTAAGGACAAGTACTTATCGATTGGTGCTTTTATGGTTTTACCCCAACTAAAAAAAAAAAAAAAAAAAAAACACACACACCCATTTGGGTTTGAGTCAGAGCATTCCTCTTCTTCGGGCTTTCTCTAGAACAAGAAATAACTGAGTTGATACCAGAGAGAACGTGGTGAGGACTTCCCAAGAGAACTGCCGTAGGCACATCACCGGAAAGAAAGAAAAAGAAAAAAAACTTGTTCACCGGAAAGAAAGAAAGAAAGAAAAAGAAAAAATTAAACTTGTTCACCGGAAAGAAAGAAAAAGAAAAAAACTTTGGGCCTATACATTGTTTAGAATTCGAGTTTTATTATAGTAAAAAATTCTTAAAAACAGTTATATCTAACTTTGTTGCTACAATAAAAATCACTTATATAAAATCACATCTCAACTTAAATTAAAAATTCGTATTAACGAATTAAACGAACCCTTATTCTATTTTGGGTTTTTATTGTACCATTATATATCCTTTCTTCCTTAGCTTTTAGTGACTAGTCCAGTACCTTCCCTCACTGTGCGGATCATTTCGGAGTAATTTACAAATACTCAAAACTCAATTCATAATTTTGCTATAATGTTTTTTTTTTCTTACAAAGAATTTGGATCAAAAAAATCCCGCCAATAATTCTCTTATAAAAAATTTGACTAAAAATCAAAATTATAATTCAAATACCTTTCTTAAATGGACCCTCGTAAACTTCTTTGTTTTTTTTTTTTTTTTTCAAGCTGTATGATTCTTTAGCAGATATATTTACCGGTTTCTTAAGGAAATATGTTGGTCTAGCACAATTGTTTTTTCTCTGTTTGTGCTTTGTCTTCCCTTTGGATTTTGAAAGAAGTTTTGTCTTACCCAAAAAAAAAAAAACAAAAAAAATTCCTAATGAGATCGAAAACCCTAAATCAAGTTTACAACACTACAGATTTTCTAGAGGAGGAGAGATGAGGGAAATTGATAAAATGCGTTTTTTTTTTTTTTTTAAGCCAACACAATTAGATGCAAATCTGATTAAAAAACAGAGTTGATTGTGGGTGTGGTGGACATGGCTGTTGCAGCGTTTATAGTACAACGACTTCATTACTAGAGGAAAATAAAAGACAACCGACCGTCGAACCCTAAAAAAAAAAAACCATAAGTGGAATTTTAACTTTTAACCTTTGAATTAAATTTTTAATGATTAGACTCCGTTTACTTCGCTGATTCGAGTTTAGAATTTGAGTTTTTTTACAGTAAAAAGTTCTCACAAACAATCACATCTAACTTTTTTACTACAGTAAAAAGCTCTCACATAAAATCACATCTCAACTCGAATTTTAAACTCGAATCAGCGAAATGAATGAGACCTGTGTAGGTTCATATTTTACAACGCGTCCTATAAAATTATTCATGTTATAGATTTAACTGGTAAAAAAATTAATGCAACAGTTAAAATTGAAGATTTCATTAGTGGAGGTTTTTTTGGGAATCTCAAGGTAAAAATGTCAAAAAAAAAAAACATTCTGCGTGAGAAAAGGAATGAGACTTGGAGACGAGCAAAATAAAATAATGAAAATAAAGGAAACTTTTCACATCACATCACGTGGCGTCATCTCCTGGTTTTGTGATGTGATTCACGAATTAAATTCGTGAAGTGTATTCAGAGCAGAAAAAAAATAAAAGAATAAAAAAAAAAATTCGTGAAGTGTACGCTGCTCTAAATATAAATACACGAATTCTATCATAAGTCGGATATATACTCCTATTTTATATAAAGCAAAGCATCCGCCAATTTCACAGCCAAATCCTAATATTGAACGCAAAAACCAAGCAATAAAAACACAAAATCCAAGAGCTTCAGGGAGAGAGAAATTCGGCATTGCTTGTTCTTTGGTTAATCAATCTCTCTTCGCCCAAGAATCAATGGTGTGTTCAAGCACGAACCAATCCATGGCAGCGACGGCAATTCCACAGAGAAATCGGCAAAATTTCTGTGTCTCGCTCCTGCAGTGGGGGAGGAAGAAGAGGCGCTTTCCTTTTTCCCGAAAGAAAAGGTCCTGTTTTACCAATGTGGGTCCCAATCAGAAATCGCGGGTACAGGCATCGGAGCTGGAGAATACGAAGGATAGGCTACGGTTTTTGTTGGAGGAGAAAGAGGTCGCGAACCCGTGCAATCTCCTGAAGAAACGTACCGAAGCGAGTAAAAAGGCTGAGAAACGGCCTGAAAAGCCGGCGCTGGGGAGTTCCGACGAGAGGCTGCCAGCGACGGGGGAGAAAACGATATTCAGAGTGCGGTTGTCGCAACAGGAAGTGGAGGAGGATTTCGCTAAGATTTTGGGTCGCAACCGGTTGCCAAGGCCCAAGAAGCGGCCCAGAAAATTTGATCGGCTGTTTCCGGGGACGCTGATAAAGGAAATAAAGAAGGGTGCTTACAAGATGCCTCCTCGAGTCGCCGTTTGTGAAAATACTGTATCAAAATTATAAACTGATTTAAACCATCCAGAATCCTAAATAAAAGACCCTTTTTTGTCTCTGTAGATTAAATTTTAGGCTCTCAGAGTGAGTTCTACTCATGAGTCTCATCTAGGTCTAACAGATGGAGCCATTCATGAGATTATACGACAATTTTTTTTTTTTTTTTTTGGAGGATTGTTTGTCTCACCATGACCTTAACCAGTAAGTCTACAGTACTAATTAGTACATTTAATGGTAACATGGGATATTGATTTATATATTTATGAGTAATTTTAATGGTTAAGATTTTTATTTTTTATTCTTAATTTATAATTTTTTAGTTAAATAAATATACTAATAAAAGAGTATTTATTAAGAGTAAAAGGTAAAGGTCTAAACTCATACATTTCTAAAGATAAATACTCCAATTTTTTCTTCATTTTAGTTTTCTCTGAATTCTAACATGTGAATATGTTTACGAATACATTCTAATTTTAGTTATATATTAGGAGTAAATTTTTATTTCATCGTTCATCCCGCTTGAGAAATTAGTGTTGGTGTTGTTTTTTTTTTTTTTTTTTTTTTAAATATGGTTAAATGTTCATAGATGAAATACATGTGCAGTGAATACAACCTGATTTTGGCTATTTATTTAGAATTAATTCTTATTTCATCGTTCATCCCGCTTTAGAAATTAGTGTTGAGGTTTCTTTTTTTTTTTTTTAATGTGGTTAAATATTTATAGATCAAATACATGTGAATACATCCTATTTTGTTTATCTCTTATGAGTTAATTTTTATTTCATAATTTATCTCACTTTAGTGTTGAGATTTTTTTTTAATATGGTTAAATTTTCATAGATCAAATACATGTGCAGTGTCATATACTCAGAGGAAGCCATTAATTTTTGGATTAATTATAAAAATTCCCCTTAAATTATACTCCTTGTATTACTTTACCCCATAATCTTTAAAATGCAATATCTGTTCTCCCTGAACAATGAAATGTTAATAAAGAACCCTTTCCATTAATTTTTTTTTACTGATATTGATATTTAATTTTTTTATTTTAAGGGTACTTTGGTAATTTTATGGTTTAAAATTTGATTAGAATTTAAACTAACATAAATATTAAAAAAAAAACTTAATAAATTTTTTTATTCTATCAAAAAAGATTCATAGAACTTTTAACTATCATTCATTCAATAATGGATGTATCATAATTAAAAATTTAAATTTAAATTAGTTTTAAATTTAAACTAAATTTAAACAGTAGAACTACTAAAATAGCCCCAAAATAATAAATTAAATGTTAATTTCTGTAAAAAAAAAAAAAAAAAAAAAAAACCAACGTAGGATTTTTTTTTGTTAAAATTTTATTATTAAGAGAAAACAAATGTTACGTTTCAAAGATTGATGGCAAAGTGTTACAAAGAATATAGTTTAGGAGGAATTTTTATAATTAATCCTAAATTTTTCTTGCGTTTTACTTACTTTTCATGATTTTTCATCTTGGATGGGAACATTTGTCACCCAAAGAATTTATCAAACGTTGCTTGTGGAATGGATACTCTGCTCAAGATTGATCGGGCTACTCTTGACGGTGATTTTGGTCATTTTGCAAGAATTCTAGTTGGATGCTGATCTATTGAAAGATTTTCTGGATTATTTGATAATTGAATGGGATGGCCATTGTTTTTTTTTTTTTAAATTTATTTTGTAGAATATGGTTGAAAATCTTCCAGAACTCTATGTAAAGACTACTGTTGGACAAGAATATAAATCGAAAGTTGTTGTCGTGGAAGAGAAAAGTTTGTTAACAGTTCTGATGACGATCGAGATTATGGTCGCTTCGAGTAGGATTCAATTGGAAGCGCGTCAAATTCAAAGAGAGGAGATGATTGTTGAATAAGTGGATGGCAATGAGGAAAACCAGATTTAATTTGAAGTGAAGATTATGAGAAAAAAGCATATTGTGTGGATTTGTTGCAGCAAAGTAATGGGGGAGTTGCTATTTGTTGATTTCATATCTGAAATTAATTGCTGAGTTCACAAAGCAATGAAAACGAGTTTATGCTTACTTTTACTCTTGTAGACTACAAGCTCATTTCAGGACAAACTGCTCCGGCTCGGAGCTATCTGAAGCTTTGTTTGTCCGCGCTGCCGGCCATAATAAGGCAAGCACTTCTTGTTTCTACATGTATAGTCAAATTCTGATAGGTTAAACACTTATTTTTCGATTCTTAAAGACTTATAAACACATGTCAACTTATAAGAATCGTAAATTCGGATGTCATTCAGATTTGATAAAGTTTTTAAAATTTCTAATTTTGACACATTGGTGATGAATATTGCTTCTTCTTCAAGAGTTATAAGAGAAAAAGAAGTTTAATTAAACAGAGGATTAATTAGAGGCATTTTTAGCCCTTGTTATAATCACACTGCCAGAATAGAATTTTCTGTCCAAGGATTTAACACGGGGACCAAATTATATGATACATTTTTTGAGTTTAAGAACTCAGTTGCGTAGGATTTTGGTACCCGAAAAAATATTATATATATATATATAGATAGATAGATAGAGAGAAACTTCATGTCAAAATGTGTTTTTTGGTTATCGTTAATTCTTTCTTACTAAGTTGTTGTTATTAATAATAATAATTATTATCGTTATTATAATAATTATTATCGTTATTATTATTATTATTATTATTATTATTATTATTATTATTATTATTAGTACTATTTTTAAGGATTACTAAGGGGACGTTTGTTTTCTATATTCGTCTATGATTCTGAATCATGATTTATGGTTCTCTACAATATTTTTTCTCATAAAAAATACACGTAAAATGAAAATGATTCTGAATACATAAACTAAACGTCCTCTAAGTCATCTTTGTACGTGGGGATAATTTAAATGAAACTGAGAATTATCTCTAGAGATCAATTATTCAAATAAAGTTTGTTTCTAATAGACACATGTAATTGATAATTTATTCTCAAAAAAAAAAAAAGATCACTTAAAGACAACTGTAATTAATCAAACAAGAAAAACGTGTTGGAAAGGAAGTGAGCCGCAGAGTATACATGCAAGCATATATAAGCCATATATACGAATTTAACTTGAAAAATTCGAAAGCATCAATTAGCTAAAAAATTTATCCGATCAAAATCAATTATCTAAAAAATAAAATTCAGTCTCAAGGATTAACTCCAATTTCACTTGTATTAAGTTTCTTTTATTAGAAGAGAAAAAGAAATTGCTGAAGATAAACAGGAATTTCAGAAAAAATATAAAAAGATTAAGGGAGAAAGAGGGAAATAGGCTAAGACTTGAGATGAATTAAAATTAATAGGCCAATAGTTTACATAAGTTAATAAATAGATTAAATTACTATTTTTATCCATAACTTGTCTGGTTATGAACCATAACTTGACAAGTTATTGTCCATAAATCACGGTTTTTATCCATAACTTGTCTGACTATGAATCATAACTTAACAAGTTTGTCCATAATTTATCTAGTTATGAACCATAACTTGACAAATTATGACCTATAAATTTCTATAACTAAAAGTTAATCTATATATTTTCTTAAGCTCGGCCTATTTTCTATTATTTCTAAAAGATTAATCCAAATTTTGAAATGGGCCGCTGTCTAATCCTTTTTAAAAGGGCTCTTTACACCAATGGCAAATTCAAATAGTAAAATGTAAATATGGCAAAAATTTTTAAAATATTACAATTAGCAAATTTTGATATCATAAAAATAAAGACATTATAAGTGCAAAAATAATTATTATGTCATTTTTTTCTATTTTTGTAAATACTTTGAAAATTTTACTAAATTTTGAATTAAGGTTGGAATTTTGTCATGTAGTGTAATTATCACTTTATAAAAAAGTGAACACTAGACATTTAACACCCGTTTTTTGTCTTAAAACATGTAAGCAAAATTATGTTGATATAGAAAAAACTTCAAAATATCTTGGAAATATCAAAAGTTAAAATCATTAAAGTAATTATAGGATTCATCTTTTGTATTTTTAAGTTAAAGTGACTTGAGTAATGATCTTAAGTTGAGTTTGAATTATAATTTGAGTTGAAGTTGTAACTTGAGTTTGTGTTTAGATGTGCACATTTGAGTTATGATTTGAATTGAGAATCTTTTTGAGTTTGTGCTTACGTGAGTCAAAACTTAAATTTATATTTATATAGTATTTTAATAAAAACTCAATAGTGATGAAAAATTTTAATAGGGTATATGTGTGGAGTTTTATTTGTCTTTCGTTGTGAATGCATAGAAAAAAAATCATCATAATCAGAATTAAAACGAAAAAGTTATGACATTTTTAAGAATAGAAAAAATACTGTTTATTTTAATTTGAGTTCGAGTTTATGAACTTGAGTTGATGGGAAAACTTGGGGCCCGTTTAGGTCATTGATTCTAATTTTTAATTCAAGTTGAAATATGACTTTATGTGAGATCTTTTTACTATTACAAAAAGTTAAATGTGACTGTTTCTGAGAGTTTTTTACTGTAGTAAAACTCAAATTCTAAACTCGAATCGGTGAAATGAACATGGTATTGAACTCGAGTTTAGCCCTAAACTCAAGTTCAAACTCAAATTTTATAAAAGATTATAAACTTAGATAAAATTGTAACTCGAGTTTAAATTTTTTTTTCTGAATTTCGTTACAAAAGAACAATTCTGTAATTTTATAGTATAAAACGTGAATACATAATAATAACTATTGTGTAATTCTTTATCATTCCTAAAATATTTTAAGAATTCGTTATATTTTTACTACACTTTTATAATTTTATATATATCACGTTAGTATAATTTTCACCGGGGAAAAAAAAAAAACTAAAAAACGTGAAGTGTTCATAAACTAGTACAAATAGAGACGTACAAACGCATATGAAATCCAAACAGCGAGCGCGACCACATGCCATAAAAACGACGTAGTATCATGAGAGATTGGAAAAAATAATAAAGGGTTAAGCACCAAAATGCACACTTTAGCATTGTCCATCCCCAAGAAGCCAAGCCTACCAAAATAATACTTTAAAAAAAAAAAAAAAAGAAAGAAAGAAAAAAAGAAAAGAAAAGCCTAGCCTAAATAGGACTATAAAATGTGCCGAACGTTGAAACCGTTCTCGCTCTCATTCTCTCTCCCCCACCGGAATTATATACAAACCTCCGTTTCCCGGGGATTTCCGAGAGAGAACCAAAAGCAAACAAACACTGTAGACCTAACGATCCTATTTTGATTCCCCTTTGATTTTCCCCCAAACCAAACACAAATCTTCATCAAGAATCAAGAGAGAGAGAGAGTCTGCTCTCTGGTGTGCTTGTGGTGTCTCTTGCTCCGAGTCTTTCCGGCGAACGGTGTTTCTTTGTGAGAGAGAGTGAGCGGCGATGAAGGCGTCCATGGCGGTGGCTCCGGGGAGAGCAGCGAAGTCTCTTTACAATTTCGATGCCCTTACGTGCCTGAAGTGGGGGAGCCACAAGTACGTCCGGTGCGCAAAAGAGAAATCCGATGATGACGGCGGCGGCGGCGGCAGCGGTGGCGGATCGATTGATCATCGATCCGTCGGCGTGATCGCGCCTCGGCGGAAAGAATCGACGTCGGAGACGAGGCAAGGGATCAGGTTTCTCTTGAACCAGAGAGAAGCCGAGAAGTACGACGACGGCGAGGAAGGGATCGCGGCGGTGAGGGAGAAGCTCACGGTCGATTTCAAAGAGGCGGCGAACAAGCTGAAAGAGGCGTTCTTTGGAGGTGGTGTGGCGGCGGAACTGGGAGATGACGTGTCGGCGGCGGCGGAGGAGGAAGAATCTCCTTCGACGACGGAGAAAGAGGCGAGGCCGTGGAACCTCCGGAAGAGAAAGGCGGCGGGTGCTGCTAAGACTAAGAGCTTGAGAATTGAGGGAGCAAAGGTCAATTTCTCGTCGCCGGCGACTGTGAGGCCGGTCAGAAGGGTTCCGGAGAAGGAGGAGAGGGTGAAGTTCGCGGTGGCGCTATCGAGGAAGGAGATCGAGAGTGATTTCGCGGTGATGTTGGGAAAGAGGCCGCCTAGCAGGCCCAAGAAGCGGCCCAGGCCCATTCAGAGGCAATTGGACTCTCTCTTTCCAGGCGTGCTTTTAGGGGAGATAACCACAGAAACTTACAAGGTTCCTGAGGCCCCTAAAAAGGACAAGACGAGGTAGCGATCGAGTAACGTTCTCTCCATTTAACCCAAAAAAAAAAGAAAAAAAAAAAAAGAATAATATCCTCTCCAATTCTGACTTTTGGAAATTTTTTTACTCGTATGTTCATAACATCAAATATTAGTGAAAATAACCTTTTGAATTTGCAATTAAATGTCTAGTCTTATTTATCAGTCATTGTAATAACCTTTCTTTCGTTCTAGATGAGTAATTATACAAAGGATTAATGGTATGGAAGTGTTTTTCACTGGTTCATCAATAAAAACACACGTCTTTGTAGATATACAAATACTTGCTATATAACTCATGGGAAATCATATTTGGGTATTTTCTCCTCCTTTTCCTTCGTATTATTACGCTAAAATTTCTTTTAACAAAAAACATGAGCTGATCTTCCGTTGCATAGGTCTCTTTGCCCCATTTTGGCCGTTAGTTTTCCACTGATCTTATTTGTAATTTGTTTTTCCTTCTAATTGATCAATTTCCTCCAATACCGGATTTGCATTTTATTAACAGAAATAATCATTAAATTCGAATATTGTTTTGCTTCTAATACAAATTTAACACGACATTTAAGATGACGTTCTTTACCATAGAATCTCATGTCTAGTAAATACTTTTTTGCGGTGACTAAAAAATAAAAACAAAGAATAAGAAACTAAAAAATTGATTTGAAGTTAAACTTATCTTTTGCCGTGACTACATATAATTAACAGAGAATCAAGAAGAAGAAACCAAAGTGGTTGCAAATATAATTTAGCGGTGCTTTCCTTATATTAAAAAAAAAAAGAAGCTTACAGCATTCCTTTTAAACTGTCGTTATATATATAAGAAAAAGAAGAAGAAAGAAGAGAAATTAATAACGCAATATTTACACGTTAGTGATATAATTACGTTAGTGATCTAGTTAGCTACTACTAGTACTACGCAGGCAACTCAAACCGGCAAAGAGGACAGTAATGGCTCGTCTCCAACCACGCACGTATACAATCACCATGAAAAACATGCAAACAATTCAATCCCTTCATTAACATCCTCTAAACATATTGGACATCTCATAATCTCCCCCACATCTCCCACCTTCGTGATCCTCACCTTCTCCAATCCCTCTATGACCGTTTTTTGTTGCCGGAACCATAACATGACTACAACTACTACTAATCTCTTCGTCTTCGTACGTCTTCCTCATCATCATTCATTAGTCTCACGATCACCTCATCGTTCTCCATGTCCTCCTCGTCCAGTCTGCGCAAACTCAAGACGACGAGTCTCACAGTCACCCACCATTGGAACTTATGGTCTCCAACCTCGAAACCATTCATGTTCCGAAAAGTCTTGTCGCTCTGGGAGATTATCTCGTCCACAATGTCTTCTTTCAGTTCGAGGTCAACTTCTAGGTCACAGACCAAGTTCGAGATTGCGCAGCGTCGTGCCTCGACGTCGGTGAGGAAACTTGGGGGGTCGAGCTTCACCGAGGGACCAAATATGGCTGTCTCAATTGTACGTAGGTGGATTGGCCTTGTGTTGTTCTCCCGCACGAAGGTCCAGTATTCTGTGAGTGTGGAGCGAGGGTGAAGTATAAACCGGATATGGGGCTCCTTGGATGCGTTGGAAAAATCGCAGTTGGCTAAGGCTTGCTCGTATTCTAGCCTCACGTATGAGAGAGAGATTGTATTCACCATGGTTGATTAGTTTTTAGTATGTTCTATTGAGAACATATGTCGACTCAAGTAGTTTGAATGTCAATATATATATATAAACCTAATACTAGGTACTACACAGTACTCGATCGGAGTCAAAACTGTATTCGAATTTCGATTTTTTTTTTTTTTTTGGTGGTAGAAGTAGAATTTCGATATGTTGTTTCTTAGTAGGAGTCTAGGAGATGTGATTTGATAAATGCACTAACAGCCGATTTATAGGGACTTTTTTTTTCCCTAACCAATAAGGAAAAAAAGACTTGCAAGGACTTTTGGTTATTTCTCAGGGTTTTATGTGGTATGATTTAATTGGTTAGATACCAATTAAGATACTAAAAATTAGATAGCAAATTTGGATCTTTTAATACTAGCGTTTTTAAAATTTTTTTTTCTTAACAATAAGGAAAAAAAGACTTGTAGGGACTTTTAGTTATTTCTTGAGATTTTATGTAGTATGATTTAATTGGTTAGACACCAATTAAGATACTAAAAATTAGATAGTAGATTTGAAACCTTTAATACTAGCGTCTTTGAAATTATTGTGATTTGACAATTTCATCCTTAATTCTTTTTCTTGATAAGTAAAAAATGTAACTATTCCGTTTAATATCTGACCTCTTGACAAGGAACAAATTAGGAATAATTAGGAAGTATAAATTATAAGTTTATCTATTAGGATAATTTAAAATACTTGGTTGTAATAATCTATTAGAGGATCGTTTAGGATCTATTAGAATTATTTGATTATATGGTTATGTTTATCTTATTATTAAATTTTAGGAGTCTATAAATAGAGATAATAATTGTATATTTCAGCTCAGACTTTGATGATTAATTAAGTACATATATTTACTCTCTTTTGTTCTCTCTTCTCTCCATCTTTTTCTATATTTTCCTCCCATTCCTCCCTTCTTCTCCTTCTCTTCTGTCTCTATTTCTTTTAAGTATCTTGCTTCGACATCACCTCCATTGAAGATTAGGGTAAATACTATTATTTCGTATATTGAAGCCTAAATTAGCCAAAACAAAGAAATAAAGAAAGAAAGGAAGCAGAAAAAATGTTTCAGACTGAGAGAAATTAAACGAGCACGGGATAAAATCTTGTTACTCAACCCAATACAATTATTAACTTTTTTTTGTCACATGACTCTTTTTAAAGATACATATCTTGTTTAAAATAATAACAAGAAAAAAAATATTGAGATTCAAATCCCATGTTCTAATTCATTTAATTGCTTATGGATTATAAACATAATCCAAAAGAAACAACAGAAAAATCTCATACAGCAATAAGCTCGCTCAGATGGTATAAATGATTCCAACAAAATGGAAAATCAATAGCAGACCCTATATGACTGAAAATATTCAATCCGCACATCAACAAAAATTAAAACACCACGTTCCACCCCTTCATCTACTTGGATAATCAAGAGGAGCAAAAACAATTAAACAAAAAATTCTCCGTCCACCCAAATATACCAACAGAATATGTTGTTTGCACAGCTATTTGAAAAGCTTTTCCAACCTGGTGAACAACCATGATTTTTTTGTGTAAAGAGCATAAATTAGCTCAGTTTTTAGACTTAATATAACTATTGAGTTGATCATATATATCAATCTTAACCCAACTGGATCATGTTCCAGAATACCACTACCATGCACCAACATGTTACCATGACCACCTCAGTTTTCAAGATTATCTAAAATCTTGATAATTATGAGTAGGATTATGATATCTTTGAAAACACACCAAAAAAAAAAAAAAAAAAAAATCAAGGAATGAAGAGAATTTGTATAAATATTCAACAATATGAGAAACAAAACGAATCCAAAGCAAAAGCCCAAAAAAGATGAAACTCATAATACCTGGTTAAAACTCGTATTGTGGTAGAACAAGAGGCCTCATGACATACAAGACTGTCTCAAATTAATTAATTTCTTAATTAATTTGTACTAGCATGATCAGATGCCACCGGGAGTTCCCCCAAACACTTCAGTAGGATAATTGATATATATGCAACTTAAAGTTGATATTTAATTCCTAATGAAGTGCTCAGGGGAACTCTAGGGCACACCTGACTTGTAACTTGCTTTGGCGTCTTGGCATAAAAAACTACTCACCAATCTGCTATTTATAGTACTGCTGTTGCTTATCTTTGCACTCATAGCCGATGTGGTAGTCAACTCCATTGTTCTTTTCATCTCTGGGGAGAAAATGCGGCAAAATTAAAAAAGCAATGGTGAACCTAGACGGGATTGGGGGCTGAATTGAAGGAAACGAATAATATCTTGCATGGTGATTGTGAGATGTCCCTTTTACCTCTTGTTGCTATTCCTTTTTCAATCCGGCCTTTAATTTCGCGTTCATACAAATTGAACCACGTATTTATTATCTTACCTAGCTAGTTCTGGAACAAACCAGTCACCACCTTTATTAATTTTGCAGGTTGCAACTAGAAAAAAAAAAGGTTATGCCAATTCGTTAAAAGGGAAAATATTATCGAGTACTATATTTGGGGTCGCGCTCTATTCCCACAAACATCCATCAAACGGTCGGCAGAGCCACATGTATGTTGATTGAGACTTGATCATATGTATATGTTTGAATCATGTTGGTCCATCAGAAGTCATTCTGGAATATCTGCTTTTGTTTGAAGAAATGGTCGAAAAGGACGTGTGCATATGAGCTGCCTCAATCGAAAAGATAAAAAGAAAACACAAGGTTGAGAGAGCTTAAGGCCATTAATGATAGTACTTAACGTGACCTGCATTTCCGACCAGGTTCAAACCACCTAGTAATTTCGTTTTCCCTTATCTCTCTTTTTATATCTTCTTTTATTTGGCTCTTTCTGCTCTGCGGGCTCTGTAATTGAAATGTTACTGCATGGGATAATCTGCAGGCTCTGTAATTGAAATGTTACTGCATGGGATAATCTACTATATATATATATATTGGTTGATGTTCGCCCGTAAGCGTACGGTGTTCAGTTTTGATAGTAAAGGGTGAGTGAGTATCATCTGCACATGAATTGGGTATTAAATTGCCGCTAAGTACCATTTTATTATTTTTCCTATACAAAATAACACCAAAAATCACATTAAACTAAAATACTTGAAGACTCACAAATATTTAAACTAAAAAATACTTGATTTGTCGGTAAATAGCCTCCTCATCAAATACCCCTAAACTCAAATATTTGCTCGTCCTCAAGCAAAACAAAAGAAAAGCAAATATAAATAAATAAGAACACAATGTAAACCAACAATAACTTAAAGATTAAAGTGTGAGTTTTGTATCCATTTGATAGCTAGACATACGTCTCAAAAGCCACGCAATGCA